ACCTTGGTACTTTGATTCGGTATTTAAGAGTCCTCTTACTTTTATAAGACACTTTTATTTTTATTTTCTACTTAATCTCCATCTAACTCTTACCTCTTTCCTCTGTTCGAACTCTTGTATGTTTCTGATTTACCGCTACATTCATAATTTTCTCTTTTCTCTGTCTCCGTGTCTTCTCTGTCTGTCCATTTTTTTTTTTTACACAGGGTTTGACAAGGTTAGGTTTAGGATCCCTAGCTTTATTAAGAAGTTATATGCAGGTTAAGGATTCCTAATTTTATTGACAAGCTAAGAACTGTTACGTACATCAGCTCATTTGAAAGCATTTTTATTGTTATGAGACATACAAGCAGGGAACAGGATGAAGTTGGAGCCATCTGTGGGCCAGAATTTTCATCTGATCAACTGACTTTATCTCATTGACATCATAATACTGTACGAATGTGTTCCATACTCGAGTCATCCTGGGGATAAATGATCTCAGATGAAGTGATGTTCTGGAGAAGGATACAGCCAGAGTGAAGTTGCTGCTTTCTGCCCGTCTTGTGGTATAGAAGCTTGCTTCACGCTGTCCTTGAAGTGGCTCCAAGTGTGGTACTTTGACAATACTGGCCTTGTACATAACAGTAAGGCCACCCACATCCTTCCTGTTTTGAAGGATCTGCTGAAATGAAAGATCTATCCAGGATTGGTCCAGGCGAGAGATGAGACGTCTTGTTCTGTTCTCTACTCTGTCAAGCAGTCGCAGATGAGAGGGGACGCAGGCAAACCAAGAAAGTGGGGCATACACAAGGTGTGAGCGTACTTGTGCCTCGTACAGGATCTTGCAACCCCTACTGTCAAGCAGGTGCGAGATACGGGGAAGTGCTGCAAGCTTCCTGGCTGCCTTGTTTGCAAGATTTACAACGTGGTTCTTCATGGTCAGTTTGGAGTCAAATTTCACCTCAAGGATATCAACTTCTTCCCCAGGTGCAACACCCTCCCATTATCCTTACTACTGCACAGGCATTACCATCGTGGTGCCTATAGACCATCATCATTTGTGTTTTCTCAGGTGCAAATGTTACTTGCCATCTATTTCCCCATGCTGATGTAACTCTTAGCTAGTGATTGATGTAGCTTAGAGCAGCTGGCATTTCTTCTCTTGGATCAGTGAATGTCAGTGTAGAGTCGTCTGCATATGCATGGGATTCTGGGATGAGATGAAGAAGGTCATTGAAGTAGACATTCCATAACAATGGTCCCAGCACACTTTCTTGTGGAACACTTGCCCCAACAGGATGTCTTGCTGATTCCGTTCCATTGAGAACTACCCTTAGAGATCTACCATGAAGGTAATCACTGAGAAGACATAGCGTAGAGCCTGCAGTTCCCAGAGCTTGCAGTTTTGCTAAGAGGCCCTGGTGTCACACCCGGTCGAAAGCACCAGCAATGTCCAGTGCTACCACACAGCTGACTTTGGATTCATCCAATGACTGGTGCCACATAGTGGAGAGGTTTAACAACAGATGGTAGTAAAAAAAACTGTTATTTGTCTTGAGATTAGTGTCTCAAGTATCTTACCAGTGATTGACAGCAGTGGCACTGGTCTGTAGTTGCTGATTTCTGCTCTGCTCTTCTTTTTGTGAACAGGGACTACATTTGCCTCTTTCCAGAGAGAATGCCATTTACACTGTACTAGGCAGTGCTGAAAGATGCGAGTTAGAAGTGCTGCTAGCTGGTCTGCACATCTTCTCAGCACTCTTTGGCTCAATTTGTCTAGGCCCACAGCCTTCTCTTGGTCAAGCGATTTAAGAGAGAATCTACCTCTCTCTCTCTCTCTCTCTCTCTCTCTCTCTCTCTCTCTCTCTCTCTCTCTCTCTCTCTCTCTCTCTCTCTCTCTCTCTCTCTCTCTCTCTCTCTCTCTCTCTCTCTCTCTTTCTGATGATATTGTCATCAATTCATATTCTTTCAGCGTTGAAGATTGCCCATCCTGAAAGATATGAATTCCCAAAGATAGTGACTCTGCTGGAAGGAAAGCTTTGAAGCTCCTTTAACTATTGTTCCTATAGTGGAATACATAACAATACTGTCAACGTTCCACTGAAGGATTATAGTTCAGGCTGGCAAAATTCATTACCTCATGAATGCCATCCCGTGTGATATGATAAATGTAGCTAAATAATAAAAAACAATGCTATCATGTAGAATATAGTAACCTCCCGCACACTACGAATGAATCTAATATTGCTTAAAATAAAAGCGCATTGTTGTCTTCTGGTGTGGGCAGTACGGTGTGCGTGAGTCTGGTGTGTTGTTCCACGTGATCACGCGACCCTCTCGAGGCCACCTTGACGTGCACATGTGGCGTCGACCAGAGGAGACCATCTTCACTCTGCTCGACCTCAACAACGATCGAGTTACCTATGCTCACGACGGATCAGAGACTACCGAAGACTCCGTCGTCCTCGAACTGGAGCTGGTGACACGTTCTGGCTACATTCTACCTTCGTACCTCCAGGTAAGTTGTGTTCCTACATTCTCTCTTCCCACTTCCAGGTAAGTTGTAGGAACCTTTGTTGTGTTCCTACATTCTACCTTCCTACTTCCATGTAAGTTAAATGAACGCTTGTTTGTATTCCGCCTCCGGAGCACTTATTCTCTGCTACCTCCAAGTGAGTTACGTTTACACTTATGCTCTGCCTCTAGGTAAGGTTTGCAGGACTGTGTTCTGCTTTAAGGTAAGTTCTCCAGGCACTTGTGTTCTGCCTTAAGACAATGTTTAATGACTGAATGTGTATTTCGTCCTGTCGAGAAATTCCTTTTGTTTTTCTCTCTCCAGAACTATTTTGCAGCTCTTTTAAACAGACTTCTCTGTTGCTTTCTTTATATTCATTAAATCTTCAATAAGGAAGAATATTGATTTTTTTTAAAGGAATTGATTTTAATTCAAATATTACCTCATAATGTTCAGGAAGTGAATTCAAAGTTATTTTCTTTGAATGTTTTGCGATCCCACATTGTCTTCAATATCTTCAACTCATTTCAAAGTTAATGGACATCACACCACCCAGGACGCGACTCATGAAAATGGCCAAAAACCTGGGAACGAATGCCACACTTGACAAGAACAGAGTTTCCACCCTTCCATGGATCAAGCCCGGCCCTAGGTTATGAGAAGAAGGTACTACCATTAAGCAAGGGGCCCATATTTGTACCCATCTTGTCTTCAGACTGCTTATTTCTATTCTGTCTTCAGTACGCAAGTGCCCATTTTCAGGGAAAATGAGGGAGGGGGGGGGCCGCCACCCCTGCTCCAGAAAATAAAAAATATGTAAAAATAAATAACCATTAGATAACTAGGACAGACATAAAGAAGAAATTAACACAACTTTTTTGCATTACGATGAAAAACTAATGAAAAAAAACAGTGAGTATCCAACACCAACAAAAAATAATTCATTGAATCAAGTTACAGAATCACAGGAATCAATACTACTACAACAAGGATTCATGATGGAGCACTGGACAGGTAGAGGATTCAGTATAGGGAAGGGAAGGAGTGAGGAGAGGGAAGGGGTGTGGATGGTGGTAACACGCAAGTTGTAGAGGAAACGTGTAGAGGAGACGACTGTGTTACCTTTGTAAGGAGTGGGGAAGGGTGGGGGTGAGTTTACTTGCACAACTGTAGCCCTTCCACTGTTGTTTCCTGTAAGGGATCTTCCTCATGGATAGATTTTTATTGTAGTTAAGGATGAGCATATCTGAAGGTTTGAGTAACTAGTGAAGGCTGCTCACACCCCGCCATGTTAGTCACAACTAAACATTACAAGATATAATGTCCGGGGCATCACAAGGACTTATAGGATGGGATAAAAATAAATCGATGTAAGAATGTGTTAAAATCTTAAGACGAAAACTGCATCAGCCTAAATTAAATTGATGGTGAGTTAGATATTACGTTAAATACAGATATTTCACAGTTTATACCAGTGAATACCTCACTAGGACTGATTCTCATCAGTGAAAATGTGTACACAACACCTTGCAACACCAGCGTGGTCACTGTCACCTTGCAACACCAGCGTGGTCACTGTCACCTTGCAACACCAGCGTGGTCACTGTCACCTTGAAACACTAGCGTGGTCACTGTCACCTTGCAACACCAGCTTGATTACTGTCACCTTGCAACACTAGCGTGGTCACTGTCATCTTGCAACACTAGCTTGGTCACTGTCACATTGCAATACCTGCGTGGTCACTGTCACCTTGCAACACTAGTGTGGTCACTGCCACCCTACAACACCAGCGTGGTCACTGTCACCTTGCAACACCATCGTGGTCACTGTCACCTTGCAAAACCAGCGTGGTCACTGTCACCTTGCAACACCAGCATGGTCACTGTCACCTTGCAACACCAGCGTGGTCACTGTCACCTTGCAACACCAGCGTGGTCACTGTCACCTTGCAACACCAGCGTGGTCACTGTCACCTTGAAACACTAGCGTGGTCACTGTCACCTTGCAACACCATCGTGGTCACTGTCACCTTGCAAAACCAGCGTGGTCACTGTCACCTTGCAACACCAGCGTGGTCACTGTCACCTTGCAACACCAGCGTGGTCACTGTCACCTTGCAACACCAGCGTGGTCACTGTCACCTTGAAACACTAGCGTGGTCACTGTCACCTTGCAACACCATCGTGGTCACTGTCACCTTGCAAAACCAGCGTGGTCACTGTCACCTTGCAACACCAGCATGGTGACTGTCACCTTGCAACACTTGCACGGTCACTGTCACCTTGCAACACTACCGTGGTCACGGTCACTGTGACCTTGTAACACTAGCGTGGTCACTGTCATCTGTCACTTTACCCTGTCCATCAGAAAACCCAGGATAACTCAATACAAATAATAATTTCACAGTTTATAATAATTAATGAATAGATGAAAGTACTACTAATAATAATAACACTAAGAACGCTGAACATAAAAATGTCTGGAAGCTGGAAGCACCATACCGAAGGTCATGACGAGGAGGAACTCAGAGAAGTGAGGGACGGGGTTCTCCTGGCTATACGAGGCTCTCTTGGCTATACGAGGCTCTCCTGGCTATACAAGGCTCTCTTGGCTATACGAGGCTCTCCTGGCTATACAAGGCTTTTCTCTCTTGGCTATACGAGGCTCTCTTGGCTATACGAGGCTCTCCTGGCTATACGAGGCTCTCTTGGCTATACGAGGCTCTCCTGGCTATACAAGGCTCTCTTGGCTATACGAGGCTCTCCTGGCTATACAAGGCTCTCTCTCTTGGCTATACGAGGCTCTCTTGGCTAAACAGGGAAAGAAAAGAAATTAAGTAGAAAAGCAAGGGAATCAAAGTGAGAGGATAGGAGGTACTGGCAGATGAGGCATCAATATCATTTGGGAAATGTTGCCAGCAAACTACCACACTGCTACAGCAACTGGTAGAAAATAAGAATGAAGCCTATCAGAGAGACTTTCCTTACACCCATCTTGTCTTCAGTATATTTGAACCTGTCTTGTTCTTAGTATATTTGTGCCCATCGTGTCCTCAGTATACTTGAACACATTTAGGATCAGTGTGCACCAGTGTGCGTATTAATGGGGACAGTGATGAAATAAGACATTCGTTTGGAAAATTAATGTTCATTCGAGAAATTCACGGCAATAATATGGCAGATAATTGGTTTAATAAGGCATATGACTACCCTTTGAGGGTAGGCATCCAGTAATGTGACTTCATTCACTTTGGTGTAGTCGGTGCACATCCGGAATCCTCCATCAGGCTTTTTAACAAAATTGCACAGTGAAGCCCACTGGCTGGTCGATTCCTCCACCCAACCATGTTCTAACCTCCTGCTGAAGTAGCTTCTGTTGTTTCAGGATTAACTCTGTAGGGAGAAAATTTAATAGGTTTAGCAGTTCCTTCGTCAATTTCGTGATAACCCAGGTTGCACTTTTTTGGAACACCCGAAAATGTATTGGGATAGGTTTGCAGAAGGGTAATTAGTATTACTACTTGGTCTTCTGTAAGTTCCGACATTATGGGGAGGTTCCTTTTAGAAAGCCGAGTTAGAAGGCCTAATTTCAACCTCTGGAATTGAGTACAGTGAATGGGGTCGTCTACATATACATTTCAAGATATATTTTTTTCATTTACGTTAATATAAAAAAATTAATGATTTTGTACCAAAAGAACCTTAGGAAACTTACCTAACCTTATTATAACAAGCGCAATTTAATTTAGCCTAATCCAACTAAATATATTTTATATAAGTTTACAATAATTTAGTAAAACACAGTCAATAATTGTTTCTATACCAGCTTTCTGGCAGTCCACCATCTTTAATTAGCCTTTATCGAACAAATGATAAATTAACATTTATGTCAAGTGAAGCCTAATCTCACTCTATATCTTTGCTGGTTTTCTTGGGATCCTTCGTACTGTATCTTATGACAACCTTGTCAGTATATTTTTTTAAGAGTTACAATACTTGCACGCTTCCTAGGTATAACATCCATCGTGAATTTCAGCATTAATCATGAACTGAAGCTGAGAATTTGGTGAAATCACATTTACTCACGGAGCACACTTGCAGGAATAGCCTTACAGAACCACAGCTGTTATAGCACTGACGAGAGTCGCAGGAGACTAAGACATATTATGAGATAATCACAAAATTTACTCCTATCCCAATTAATTTGCGTATTACTGTGATCGCTCCACAAATTAACAAGCTTTGTCCATGTGGTTGCTGAGACTGGCAACATATGATGGGTATGTGAAGAAATACTCATTCAGCTGAGCTCTTGTTGCCTGTACTCACATGTGTCTGGGTAAGCACGTGAGATACAATTACCTTTAGCCACATGTGTGTGCATATAATGATGAGTTGTTTCTTGTAGCCACATGTGAACAGGTTTGCAGATGAGCTGCTATTGCTTGCATAGATTTCTTACTCAAGTTACACTTAAGTCTCCTCGTTAAGTTTGCTTATTGTGAAAACATCTGATAGAGAATGAAAATTAAGTTTCAAAAAAATAACAAATTGTTCGTAAATAAAAATTATTTATAATTCAAAATTAAACAACAAAATAGTAGAATAGGAAAAAAAATCTCTATTCTATATATTTTTACAAGCTCATTACATGTTACAATTTTTCAACTCTCACCAGTGATAATTACACTTTATCATACATCTCGCATGTATTCAGTATTCAGACATGCAATATTGCAAGTATTTGCAGGAAGCAGAGAGTCAGCATTGATTACCTGACATAGTTTGTAGATGAATGGTTCAGAGAACCGACATGTTGATAAATTAGACACATGTGCAACTCTTGGGTATCTTTATTGAGGAAACGTTTCGCCACACAGTGGCTTCATCAGTCCATACAAAGGAGAATCTTGAAGAACAGGAGGAGAATGAGGTAATCAGTCCCTCAACCTTGAGTCGATGTGGTCAGTCCATCAATCTTGAATAGAATACGGCATACGTGC